GGAAAGCACTCCTGATTGACATGTAACTGCAAAAACACAAGATCCTGTTGTCCCAGAAACTCCAGAAAATTAAGAGAAAAGCAAGTATAGCATATTTCAAGAATCAAAGAGGGATACAGCATATTGATTTATTTTCCAATAGTGAAAATGTTTTCCCAAATTACTCCAATACAAAATAAAAACAAAAAACAAAACAAAACAAAATCAACAAAAACACAGAGCGATTATAGTTACTGAACCATTGGAAGATGCAAAGTCCCAATGCCTTCCTAACTAGGGCAACTAGATATAATGATACTTCAGAATTGGAAGACCTTAAAGATGCTAAACTTCACAACATGAAAGAACTTTTTCTGCAAAGAAGTGACAACAATTGACTTAATACCCCTTTTTAGCAATGGGTCATTATAGTTGCAGTGATAATCAATATCTCTCCTGTATCCAGTGCTATAGTTAGTGGATAGTCATTTTTCTAAAGCTATCTAATGTTTGAAGGTAATTATACACCATTATTGTAGGTAAAGGTAAATTCCAGAGATTTTAAAAATAAATAAGATATATTAATGATAAGAGCACAAATCAATGACGTGCAAAACAAGAGAGAAAATTAATAAAGCCAAAAAAGCTCATTCTTTCAAATATCAACAAAAACAATAAGCCCCTACTTAGGCTAATAACACACAAAAAAGGAGAGGTCACAAGTTAACAAATATCAGCAAGGAAAGAGAACTTATCACTAGTGATGCCTGCAGATATTAGAAGAATGACAAAAGAATATTGTCAACAAATTTAACTTCTTTGATGCAATGGACAAATTCCTCCAAAAACACAACCTAGAAAACTTTCAAAGTATTAAACAGAAAAGGTGAGTTTGAATTCTCTATTAAAGGGATGGGGGACCATGGATGAGTTAGCTAATCATAGCACCTTAATTTCTTATACTATTTAATTCAGCAACCAATAAATGTTAGTTCTTCCTGCAAATCTAAAAGTTGTGATTTTTTTTTTTGAGAGGGCATCTCTCATATTTATTGATCAAATGGTTGTTAACAACAATAAAATTCTGTATAGGTGAGTCAATGCTCAATGCACAATCATTAATCCACCCCAAGCCTAATTCTCATCAGTCTCCAATCTTCTGAAGCATAATGAACAAGTTCTTACTAGGTGAACAAATTCTTACATAGTGAATAAGTTCTTACATGGTGAACAGTACAAGGGCAGTCATCACAGAAACTTTGTTTTGATCACGCATTATGAACTATAAACAATCAGGTCAAATATGAATATCCATTTGATTTTTATACTTGATTTATATGTGGATCCCGCATTTCTCCATTATTATTTTTTTTTAATAAAATGCTGAAGTGGTAGGTAGATGCAAGATAAAGGTAGAAAACATAGTTTAGTGTTGTAAGAGAGCAAATGTAGATGATCAGGTGTGTGCCTGTAGACTATGTGTTAATCCAAGCTAGACAAGGGCAATAAAACACCCACGGATGCAGAAGATTTCTCTCAAAACAGGGGGGGTGAGGTTCTAAGCCTCACCTCTGTTGATCCCCAATTTCTCACCTGATGGCCCCCCTGCGACTGTGCCTGTCTTAGGTTGTTCCTCCCTTGAGGAATCTTACCCGTCTCTGGCTAACCAGTCATTAAAAGTTGTGATTTTTAAAAAGGGACTTTCCCTGTTATAATGGCTACATTTATTCTTGTTACTTTGTTTGAGATTTTTCAACCTTCCCCCCACCCAAGCAATGTTGCTTGCTTTTGCCATTTTTTGCAAAGATCAGTTGACTCGTGCCATTATAATTCTATCAGTGATTATTAAAAAAACTTTTTCAAAACTCTTCTTACATTTTTGTTTGTCCAATATGGTTATGGAAGGATCTGAAGAAAAACTCAGATTTGTATGCCTAGCTCCTGTCACCTGGAAAACTGCCACAAAATGGCACTTATTCTATAATTTAATTTTGTTTATTTAGTGAGGTAATTACTTTTCCAAATAAATAGTCAATTATCCCAGTATCATTTGACTTCCATTCGTTCTCTACTGTTTTAAGATGTTATTGTTACCATATACTACATTTTCATTCCTATTTCTCTGTTCTCTAGATCTGTCTCATCTGTGGTATGCCAATGTTATGTATTTTGTTTCCAACAGACTACTATTTAAATTACATGGAAGGCAAGACGTATTTGTTGTTCCTAACTAAACATTATTTTAGTTATTCTAATACACTTATTTTTAATGTGCTGAATTTTATTTTAAAATCCCACTGAGTGACAAGGATGCTGAGACAAATGTGGGAAAGAACAGTCTTTTCAAAAAAGATGCTGGGACAACTAAATATCCATGTGCAGAAGAATGATGTTGGACTCCTACCTCACACCATGTACAAAAAGGTTAACTCCAAATGGATCATATACCTAAAATTAAAAGCTAAGACTACAAAATTCTTAGAAGAAAATACATAAATCTTCATGGCCTCAGGTTACACTGAAAAGGACAAACAATACATCAAAATTAAAACCTTTTGTGTTTCAAAGAATATCAAGAAGTGAAGACAACCCACAGAAAGGAAATACTTGCAAATTATATATATATGGGTCTTGTATCCAGAATATGTAAGTAATTCTTACAACTAAACAATGACAACCTAAGCGAAAGTGGAACAAAGGATCTGAACAGACATTTCTCCAAAGAAAATATACATTTATGAAAATATACCTTTTGTATGTTCATGAAAATATACATATTCATATTATCTTTCACAGAAACACAAGTATTGAGGAGGATGTGCAAAAAAGAACCCTCACATGTTGCTGGTGGGCTTGTAAAATGCTACAGCTGTTTTAGAAGATGGTTTGGCATTTCCTCAAAAAGTGAGTTAATATAGAAATTGACTCAGCAATTTCACTCCCATGTATGTACTCAACTGAAAATATGTCCACACAAAGATTTGCACATGCACGTTCATAGGAGCAGTATTTGTAATAACCAAAGTGTAGAAACATCCAAATGTCCACCAATTGATGAATGGATAACAAAATGTGGTACATATAAAGTAAAATGGAATTTTATTAAGCCACAAAGAGAAATGAAGTACTGATACTTGGTATAATATGGAAGAACCTTGGAAGCATAAAGTGAAGGAAGCCAGCCACAAAAGGCCACATATTCTTGTGCTTTCATTGATAAGAGAAAGCCAGAGTAGGCAAATAAGCAGGAAGTAGATGGGTGGTCACCAGAGGCTGGAGGGAGAAGGGCAGTGGGGAGTCAGTGCCACTGGGCATGGGGTTTCTGTTTAAGGTGTTGAAACTGTTCTGTAAGTAGTGGTGATGGTCACACAAGTCTGAATATACTCATAACCACTAAACTATACTTCAAAAATGAATTGTTTAGCATGAGAATTATCTCAATAAAGCTGTTATTTTTTTAAAATTCCACTGAGATTTTTATTTAGAAATTCTGAAACTATTTTTCCAATCATGCCCCTTCATTTATTATAATATTCTATGTTCTTTAAAAAAAAGGTTTATCCTATAATCATTCTTTATGCCTGACATTTTTAGATTTTTTGGTCAATATTGTGACTCACCTTTTTCTATTACATTTTCTATTTAAGGAAGCTTTATACTTGTGCATAGTTGTTAAGATTATATATCTCCACCTTAGTACTTCTACTGGTTGGATTTTCTAGTTACCAAACAGCATCTCAAATTATGTCAGTTTTTTTCTCTTCCTTTCAAGTATTGCTAGCTCATTTCTTCTCATTGTATTATCTGGGACTTTCAGGAAAATGTTAATAATGGTAACATCAAAGACCACTTGTCTCATTACTGTTTCTGGTAGGGAGGTTTCTAGTTATTCACAGTGTGAATATTCAATAGGCTTCTGGTAAATATCCTTTATCAGTTAGGGAAGTTTCCTTCTATTCCTAACTCAAGAAAACACTTGATACTTTGCCAAATGCTTCAACAGCATCCATTAAGATATATTCCCTATTGATGTACAGTTCTACTTTTGAAGAAGTCTGGAAGTTCTATGATAAATCTCAGTATTGATTTTACTAAATTGCTAGATTTGACTTAATGAATGATCCAGAAATTTTAACTTCCCTTTTATCTATAATTATATTCCTTTCTTAACCCTAGATGTTGTGTTTTCTTCTTTTTGCCCATTGGCCTATGCTAGAATTTGCCTATTGGCTTATTGAATGTATATTTTGTAACTATTTTATTAATGTGTGCTTTTCTTTTTATTAATGTATTTCTTTTATTTTCTTTGGGTTTATATCATTATTCTGTTTCCTATCTTCTTGAATACTGAATTTATGTTCTGGTTTTATCATTTTCTAATAATTATATTTTTTGTTTGGATTCTTTAACAAAAATTACTTAGAAAAATTATTAAATTTCTAAAAAATTTTGTGGTGATATTATCAGTTGTTCATTTCTTTTATTTCATTGTGATAAAATAAACAGGGAGGATTTTAATATTTCCCTCAGGGAGACTTTGTTGAGATTATCTTTGTAGCCATATAGTCCATTAAAAAAATATTCCATGAATACTAGAATTGAGTGCATATTATCTGTATGGGAGACAGTATTCTTATCTATGGCTATTAATCAAACATCAATTTTTAAAAATTCAAGCCCTCTTTAAAGGTGTTTTAACACTGAAAAATAACAGAATTACTAAAAAGATTAAAATTACATATAAACAATTTTTGCCATCCTAAAACTTTTGTCTACCTGGAAAGGCTTTTATTATAAACAAATATATACATTTATATAAATTATCTTTAATTTCTAAATGTCTTTAAAGAACAAACTTCAGTTTTGGTGATGAACAGTTCTTACTTTCATCTTACTGATAACAATTTTTTTTAGATTAATTACAAGAACAGTGTTTCTTCTCAGTACAAACATTATGGTATTGAGTATATAAGAATTTTGTATAAAGTTTTTTTTTTGCAAAACAATCCTAGGGTTTCTTACCAAGTGTAAATGATCTACAGCTGCAGGTTTTTCACACATTCATTACTCTCATAGGGTTTCATTTCTGAAATGAGTCCTCTGATGTCAGATTAAAGATGTACTATGACAGAAAACATCACCACATTTATTACAGTGATAAGGTTTCTCCCCTGTATGTGTTTGCTTATGTTTAGTAAGGGCTGAGCTTAAACTGAAGGTTTTCCCACACTCATTACATTGGTAGGGTCTCTCTCCTGTGTGAGTTCTCAGGTGTTGAATTAGTGATGTCTTATAGCAAAACAGTTTTTGACATTCATTACATTGATAGGGTTTCTCACCAGAATGAGTTTTTAGATGTTCAGTAAGGTGTGTACTGTGGCTGAAGTTTTTTCCACATTCCTTACAAACATAAGGTTTCTCTTCAGTATGAGTTCTCTGGTGTTCAGTAAGATGTGCACTCCGATTGAAGGCCTTTCCACATTCATTACACTCATAGGGTTTCTCTCCAGTATGAATTCTCTGATGCTGAATGAAAGCAGGGGTATGACTGAAGGCTTTTCCACATTCATTACATTCATAGGGTTTTTCTCCTGTGTGAGTTCTCTGATGTCGGATTAGTGATGTGCTGTGACAAAAAACTTCCCAACATTCCTTACACTGGTAGGATTTCTCTCCAGAATGAATTCCCTGATGTTCAATAAGATGTGTGCTCCAGCTGAAGGTTTTACCACATTCAATACATGCATATGGTTTCTTTCCAGTATGAATTCTGTGATGTTGAGTAAGGGCTGAAATATGGCTGAAAGCCTTCCCACATTCATTACAAGGATAGGGTTTTTCTCCAGTATGAATTCTCTCATTATTTCTAAGGGATGATCTGTGACTAAAGGCTTTTTCACATTCATTACACTCATAAGGATTTTCCCCAGTGTGGATTCTTTGATGTTGAATAAGATTCATGCTCTGACTAAAGGTTTTTCCACATTCATTACATTCATAAGGTTTCTCCCCAGTATGTATTCTTTGATGTTGAATAAGATTAGTGTTCAGGCTGAAGGATTTACCACATAGTTTACATTCATGTTTCTCTTGCATAGATATTTTCTGAGATTCCATTAGTACTAAAATATGGCTTTACATTTAAGTGGTTTCCAGAACAACTCAGGCCTGAAGTACAAATGCATCCTTTCTCATATCTAATAAATTATTTTTCATTTATGAGTTGCCTTTTTAAAAAAATCAAATGAAGCAGAATAATACCTTAAGCTCCTATCATTTGTGTCATAATTATGAGGTCTTTATCTTCTAGACATTTCCAGTTTGTTTAAAAAGGTTTGAGTTTAGACTAAATATTTTCCCATTATTATTATATTCATGGTCTCCCTTTTTAATTGTTTCCTTGTAATTTAATTTTACTAGTGTTTCTCAAACTTGTTATCAAAGTCCAAATTTTCTAATGTGAAATTTTAGGAGCCATCAACTGAAAAATTTTCTAATATCATGCCATGATACTATTTGCTTTTCAGAAGCTTTCTGCTTTGGAGTTGATACTCTGACTTTGGATAAAGCATCCAGAATTAAGCAGAAGACAGTAACTCTTCCCTCTGGAATATAAAAGAGGAAAACAAAACTTGCTCATGAGCTACAGAAAAAATATATATAATAAAAATAAAAGCAAACCAGTGCTATGATAAAACAAAAGATTATACAGTATAGGTTCTGAGTAATATGTAAGTTTAAAGAAGGAAAGGATTAATAGAGGTAATATGGTGAAAGAAATGGCAGCATTAAACAAAATGCACAATATTATCAATCAAACGTAAAGATACAGAAAAGTACATGACATGACAAAAAGTCGACACAAATTCAAATGTATGTCTTTGGAAAGCTGAAGTAAAAAGTAAGAAAGGAAAAGTGAAATGAGCTTGGATAATAAGAACTCTGACAATTAAACACAGAAATCCAATGTCATGTAGTAGGAGATGGGAACACTGGAATTTTCTGTCATAGTAATAACATGATTAATATGTAATGCTCGCTCTAGATGAAGATGCTTTTTAATTTCATCTACAATGGATAAAGAGAGAATAAGGCTATCAAATTCAGCAAGTACATATAATGTAAGTGATATGGGCCTGGGCTGGGATAACACTAGTAATAATTTAATCCAGTAGTAAATCTAAAACATAAAAAGGCAGGAACAACAACAAAATACTGACCCTGATTATGGGAAATTTTTACAAAATGAAATTCATAAAGATACAGTGGTTTCTAGCCAAGAAGTCTTGAACGAATACTGGTACTAATGATAGAAATATTAAAGATGGAAACCTAGTGATTTCAGATTTCACCATGTTGAGTTTAAAATGATTTAAAGTAAAGTGGACATTCAGGTGGAGATAGACTCTATAAGCAAAGGAAATTATGGGGACAGAATACAAATGGGATATTAGGATGAAAAAATATATCAGGGAATTAATGACATGGAAGGACTACTTGAGGATATCAGAACGCACAGATTCTTTGAGATAAGAAATAGATAAGTAGAAAATAAACCTTTAGAGTACATACGCTTGTGTTAGGAAAGAAGTGAAGCTAATGAAATAGCATTTGGGAAGAGATTAGAACAGAAAACAATCTAGTGGTGTCCCAGAAGCAAAGACAAAATAACAATGCAGCAGAAAGTTTGAAAACAGAAAGGACTAAGAACAGGTTACTCTCAAGAAAAAATTCAGGATTCAGGTGCCTCTTCAAAATAATTTTAGTAGAAAAATAGAAGAATGTAACTTCAAAGATTAAAACAAAATAGGAATTGAGGCTGTTAGTTACAAGTATGAAAGTCTGGTAATGAAAGAAGAGTAATTTTATAGGTAGATAAAAATTATTAGGCAGGGTATTCTTTCAAGAGCAAGAGAAGCTTTTAAATGTCTGAAATAAGAACTGGGGACAATTGAATCATGAAATAATCATTAAATCAAGGTCCTAAAACAAATGGAAAACAATGGAATCTGCGGTACAGATGGAGAGATTAATTAACAATGGAAGAAGAACGTCTCTTTCTCTGAGATCACAGTTATGTGAGGAGATGGATAAAGATATGCAGAAGTTAAGTTGATGCTGGTTCCACTAGATAAACTCAGTGTTCTACACAACGGGGCTCTGCACAGTGGACACTAACCAACATTGCCAATCTACCTTCTAGTACCAATAGTGTTACTACCACCACCACAATGGATATGATAGATGGGCTATTATTTACAGGAATTTCTAGCTACTAAGTTGTTACTTAGCTACATGATTCTTTCTTGGCTAAGTATTTCATGACATTTCTCCATTTTGTTCTCTGTTATCAATTAATATGGTTCTTCCAATTTAGTAGATAATATCTGATTTAAAATGCTTGATACCCTATTTTTGGTGAAGGATATAGGCTTGGGTGTTTATGGTGATTTCAGAATTGTGTCCTAAGTCACCTTCAGGAACTCTATGTAGGAATACTGATATGGCTAAGGTAACATAATAAAGTTATCTATTTACAACGTTTTAAAGAAAAGAGGTATCACCTGGTTGCAGTAAAAGAAATATCTTGTGTCTCTGCACAAAATTTTAAATCTGTGGTCCCTAAACCCAAAGCCCAGCAGAGAAATATTTATAAATCCCATAATCCCATAAGTTTTGACATTTGAGGAAAAAGTCACTGCAATCTATAGTAATTAAAAAGCTACAGTGACCCAATGAGACAAGCTCCTACAGTTATTATCACACCCCTGTACAGATAGTGTCTGCTAATGGTCTGGCTCTTTTAATTCCTACAAGGTAAAGTCCACTGGCACATCCTCCAGTGCCTGTGTTCCTAAAACATCAAATACCTATTCACTAAGGGTTCACTTATGCAACCATTTATGAAAAAAAGTAAAGCTACACACTGAAACTAACAAAGCGGAGGGCTAGGAAGTTGCTCAGAAAGGATTCACAGTTCTAAAGTAGCTAACACTACACTATTTGGTGCCCTCTATGTACCTGTTGAGAGCATGGAGTAGACGGAGCATAGACAAGAGAGCACAGGACAATACTGACGTTACCCTAAAAAGATACTGAAAATAAGAAGTATCCATTATCTACCTACAGATAGATATATAGATAAATAGATATAAATGTACAGTTGTCTCTTAAATAGCACAAAGTCAGCGGCACAAACCCCTATGCAGTAGAAAATCTGCATGTAACTTTTGACTCCCCAGAAACTTAATTACTTAATGGCCTACTGTTGACCAGAAGCCTTACTGGTAATATAAACAGTTGATTAACATATATTTTGTATATGTATTACACACTGTATTCCTACAATAAAGTAAGCCAGAGAAAAGAAAATGTTTTTTGAAACTGTTGTAAATCTCCAAAAAAATTTCCAATATATTTACTGAAAAAAAATCTGCATGCAACGGGATCCATGCAATTCAAATCCATGCTTCAAGGGTCACCTCTATATATAGATATGAAATATAATCTTAACTCAAGAAATAACAGGAAGGATAGAGATATCATAAATAGGTAATGCATAAATGGTTTTGGTTATAATCTAATGATGGTAGCAATACATATAAAGAAAATGGATCAAAAGTAAAGTGATAGTAAAAGAACACAAAAAAAGAGAAGTTAGAGATGCAAACATGGTAGGTCCTTCCTATTTCATACATAATCTGTGAGAAAAGAGACTGGCACCAAGTGCTAGCTACACCTGTTTATCATAATAAGCAGGTAGAAATCTATCATGGAGCTAGAACTCATAAAATAGCATTATCTAAGGGTACTACACCTTTGTATCATACTCTTAACTCCACTTGGTATAATTCTTGCTTGCCAACTAAAATTAGGATTCGAATTTGGTTTCCTTTTTTTTCTTGCCAGGACTTGAAGATCTGAATTCCTTGGCATTTCTAGAACTCAGTATAAAATAAATCCATTTTCTATTTAATTCATCAGTCCCTTGTAGACTTTCACGACTGAATCTATCTCTGCACTAATTTCAACTTTTTGAATCTACAAATATGAGGTTCAGACACCAGGTGATGGGGAGTTCATCAAGTTAAGTGCCTCAGAAGGAGATTCCTTGGATATCAAACAGCCAATCCGCTTACCCAGAAAAGTCTGACATCACTCTCTACCATATTTCACACTGCAACACAACCTCCCCTGTGTTACCACCATAGGTAACAGAAAAGATGTAACATATATAGGACTTGACATTAAAGGTTAAATCCTCTGTTTGGAAAGACATTTTATGGAGACTTGGAATAAGTCTGAAAACAAAACAGGCAAAGGAAAGCTCTAGAGGAGTGATATGTTGATACTGAGGATATACAGTTACTTTTCACCCAGGAGAACTAACTTCTTATCAGTTCTGGCTGAGAATCCATGCTTAAAAACTCATGAAGGCCATTCAAGAAAGGCAAAGAAACCAGATTAGATGTGGCATTTATAAGTGGCCCAAGTAACAAAACTGGGGACTGAAGAGGCCTCAGACACATGACCAGACTCTTCCCAAGGCATATGCATGAATTTTTAAGCTGTATGGGCTGGGAGTCTGAAGAACTAAGCTGAAAACCTTTGAATAGCAGAAGTAAATCTCCCACAGGATTTCATGGCTGAGGAGATAGACCTGCCACAATCTCAACTGAATGTCCGGGAGGGCAATATCCTAGAGAGAGGCCACCAAAGGGTAAAATTAATCTTAAATCAAAACTGCAACCTGGAACTTACCCAGCTTAGCTGAGGTAATCACTTTAAAAAGAAAGAAAAAAAAAAGGCTTCCTGGTGAAAGATGCCATCAACTTGAACCTCTATGGTCCATTCATCATGATAACAAGCACATAATCAAAACAGCAGACAAAGTATCATTACCACTGATGATTATCAAGGGAAAACAAGATACAAGGATAGACAAAAATAGAAGGATGAAAAATTGTAGTAGCACTTTGGAATCAACCAAAAGTAATCAAATACACATGATGAACAGAACACTTAAGAGTTCAATTGTGTGGTATGACAACAGAGTAGTCTCAAAGACAGATATGTAAAAATA